TAGTATATATCTAAAATATAAATTCTTGACAACACACTTATTACTGTCTTTTGAAACCACTCTGCCACACAGTATCCTTTAAATAGGCTACTTCTGGGGCATTGAGAAGGGACTCAACCATTTCCTTAAGCCCAAGTTCACTGGCAATCTTATAACGGACATCCATATCTTTCACATGTCCAAGTAGCCATTTCATGTTGGCAGTCATTTCGCGGGTAACTGCAGTTGTGCGCTGCAGTCTTCAAAGAAAGAGAAGTTAAGTTTTAGGAAGTGTGTGGAGTAACTGACTTCATGCACAACTTCATATATTACAAATTTGTACCTGTAAGCTATGCTTTGAACTATTGATGGAGTCAGTTCCATGCATGATGACCAAGTAGTAAAGTATTCCTCGGCAGATAATCCAGGAGAAATACAATGGTAAAACAAAGCAGCAGCCCAATCAGGGCGGTGGTTGTACGCCCTTGCGACAATAAGTGCTTGGTTAAAACTGGGAAAAAAATAATGGGTACAAATTATTCCAAACAAGGAGTAACTCTGTTGTCAACATGATAAGTAAAGATTACCTTAGGGTTGATACGATAAGCTTGGCTATGCTCTTGGAGTCAAGCATAATGACTCTTAGTGTGGCTCCATCTGATGTGGATGACAACAAATAAATTTGCAAAGCCATAAGTTCAGCTTGGTGAGCACATGTCATAGCATGGTTAAGCATGTCTGCCTGTGAACAGAAGACAGGACTTTGAGTTTGATAAGGTGTGTACCACAAGTTAAATCCTGTCTGGAGGTGTACATACTTGCAGGTAACACTCAGCGGCATGACTGAAATCTTGCATCGCAGTTTGCAAACCTATTTTGGTTTTTTGGTTGTTTTGCAATCCATTGTTATCTACTAGTTGATGAATGCAGTCGTTTCCCTCTTTTTGCCACAGTGCAGCTTCTTGTTCATGCATTGCAAAATGAGCAGCAGTCATTTTCAAGAGTGCTATATCATTAGGGCACTCCCGTCGAAGCCAATCTAGTAAAGCTAATTTGAAGCTTAAAGGCTAGAAAATGAAAATAAATCCAGTTTAATTATAGTAGTGTTAGATTGTGTTAAAACTATTTAGGTATTAAACATGGATAAATTTAAATAGTATTTAACTTACTCATACCTTTACAGAATCCTTTCGAAGCAAGAATTCAAAATGATCATTTTCTTTCAAAATCTTGAAAATATAATTCATCTCTGTATAACGCTGAATGCCTGTCAGAAGACGAACCTGAAATAATACAGTCTGTTAATAAAAAACACTGAATCGTTAAATCAGTGAGCTATAATTATAGGATATGCTGACCATCAAAGCCCATTCTGAGCGTGACTTGAGGACAGGTGCAAAGCTGCTCACAGTGCGCAAGACCTGAGCTATTCCCTCCATGTGGCAGGCAGCTGCATAGCAGTCATGTGCTCGGACCAGTAACTCAACTGCTGTGCTCAAAACTGAAAAACATTGAATGCAGTAGTTAATTCAAGAATTACATAGTGATGAGATACAAAGTAAGATATTACACACAAGAAAAATAACCATGTGAGAAATTAGACTAATACCTGCTTTAGGAGTGTTTTTATCTAGGATGGCCAATTTGGAAACCATTATCATGAGTTCGTTACCCAGGAGGGACGGGTCCGGAACTAGATCCAATACATGACGGAAGTGTTGTTCAAGGTCATAGCCCCACAAAAGAAACACTTTTGCGCTACCTATTTATTTAAAGCAATATGGGTAAATATATGTTATTTATTAAAACAAACCATTGATACTGTAGTGGAAGTGGAATTAAAGTAACAGTCAACATACCAGGCGCTGGTCCTTTACTTATTGCTGCTATGATTTCACGGCTGAGAAATTTAGAGCGCTCACTAGAGGACATTCTTAAAGCAACCATAGTATCGGCGGCGATTGAATAGTCTCCAATGTTATGAAAAACTGGACTCCTTAATAGTTTCAAAGGGTCATCTACAGCAATGACATCCTAAAGTATTTTTAAAAGGAAAAACACAAATACTTGTTTTAAATGAAAGAATAATTGAGGACAGGCTTCTTTTCTTTTTCTCTTAAAAAAAAATTGATAATGTTGAACTAGTACTCACACTGTAAGATAATCCCAAGTTGATAGCTAATCTATAACATGCAACTAACTGTTTTCCAATTTCTTTTCCATGATGCAAATGTTTGCCAAGTATTTGAATCACAGACAGAATTTTAGTTCTAGTTGAGGAGTACTTCATATTTTCTAGTGTTTCTGAAGAAAATTGTTGCTCTTGTGTCTCTTCTGTGGAGAAAACACAAAGTCATAAGAACCATAAGAAAACTTAAATTTTAATAAAAGAAAAAGAGACACTGACCTTTCAAGTCTGAAAAATTACTTTCAGAGCCATCATTATCAGAACTCAATCCAAAAACTTTTGCCCACTTTCTAGGAATGTTTTGTTCACTAATATTTTCCTCAGCAAGGTTTATGCATGATTCAAGTATTTCAAGATCCTGAAAATATATATAAAATATATTTTGCATAAGGCACAGGTAATGTTGATTCTACAATTCAAGCTATTACCTTATGGTTTGACTGGAAGAAATATTGCACACGGCTTGCTGATACTATATCACCAATATCAAGTAAGCAATTCAACAGTTCAGTTGGACACTGACGTTTCTTGCATACTCTATTACATTTGTGAAAATCATCGGAAAATTTGAAGCTTCTTGCTAATTTTTTAGTGCAAAGGGAGCTTAGAGATGAGTTTTGAAGTTCCTCCGCCAAAACATGCTGAATAAGTTACGTAAATAAAAATGAGATGGATACTAGGCCATTAAAAGCTCACTTATAAGACACTAATCCCACTTACAAAAACTAATTCGTTGTTATCACAGAAACAACACTGCCACATCTTTAGTTCTATTTCATCTACTAGGTCTGATCTTTCAATGTGAGGATTGTTTGAGAGTGAGCGCTTCAGCCATATTGTGGCATGATACAGTGCTCTCCACCTATGACATAAACAAACAACTACATTATGACATTAAATACTGTCTCAGATTTTTTTTAAATTGCTAAATACAAAAATTACCTGTCTTCATTCTTTTTTAGGTTTGAGGCGCAACTTTGGAAAAAGGTAAATGCTGTATACGGGTCAACATTCCAATGGTCAAAAGAGGAACTACAATCTTTGCAAAATCCTTTTATGTCTGGATATCTGCTATTCATCCTTTTTTTAAATTTATAAGTTTGCTAAAATTTTGGTGAGATAATTTTAGTTACAGCAAATTTCAATCAAGTTAGAAGAAAGAGCTACTACAAACCTCTTCAATTATGAAAGAATTTCCACTCAGAGCTGTAGCCTCTTCAAAAAGCTGCAAACTTATAAGTTTTTCTGTACATTTTTGAATTTCGGCAGCACTATCTCTGAAGTACTGTTTTACATCAAAATCCACTTCTAGGGGTTCTAGGATATTCAAGATAGCCAACAGTTTGGAGCAGTCAAATCCTGTGAGTAAGAATAAATGTATAGTTTTGTTTGCAAAAGGCAATGTGCTAGACCTAATTTCTAATTATTTTTTAAAAATATGTACCTGAGGGAAGAGAAATATCAACTGAGGCAATAATTTTCAGTAAGCGTATTTTCTGGGTGAGAAATGGGAGGCACTCCAGTGACTTAATTAATACTTTAAGTCCAATGTCAGAGACAAAATTTGCATTGCTTAAAGACCATTGCTCATCTCTGTCTCCTAAAGTCTGCAAAAAAATAAGGAGTTAAGTAAAATCCAAACAGAAACTTTATAGAAGAAGAAAATGGGGTACATGTATTTTAGATCCTCTAGAATACTTCCAAATTTATGGTACTTACAGAGCACGAATCTTTAAAAACAATGAGAGGCTTATGATCGAGGGTTTGATTTTGCCTGAAGAGTCCATCCATTAAATCTATCACAAGTACCAAAGGGTGCTCCTAAAATAATGATAATAGAAAGGAAGCAAAAAATAAATTGAGTAAAAGCCCTGATCATTCTTCAAAAGAACAACTAAGAAACGCTTCCTTACAGGCATAAAAATTTGAAATCCAGTGAGGAGATTGGAACATGAAATTTCCAATGATTGCAATATGACTAGTTCCACCATGTCTGTGGGCCATGGCTCAGTTTTAGGCCAACACTCAAAATTGACCCTCTCTTCTTTGGGAAACCAGCTAGCTAACCAAGCTACCAATTGAGCCTCCGCATTCACCTGAACAAGTGATTGTATTACATAACATAAAATGATTTGCAGAGGAACTTGCTCAATCTAAGACAAAGATAAATGAAGAAAACTGCACAGAATCGTCACCTGATAAAAGTCTGCCAACAGAGCCAGCACTGGACAAGGAAATTCTACACATGTGTGCAGCAAAGCTTCTCCCGGGTCAGCACAATTGTGAGCAGCCAATAAGACTCCAAACAGACTGTCTTTGGTACAAGAGTTCAGTAAAATACTTGGTATTGTGACTGATCCTTGCTCTGTGCTAGGTAGTTGGGCCAGATCCTTTAAACACGGAACCTGTCAGAAATGTTAAATTATTCACAACATAAATAAATTTGTGTAATTCACCACACTGACTGATTTATTGTGCTATGGTACAAATAATTTCACAAACATCAGCTGTTGAGAGGCGACCACCACTTCTTTGTCGTGTAGAATCAATGGAGAGTTTTGAACTTTTAGATAATAAGAAAGAGCTGAAGTGTTCAGTCAGTGCCACTGACTGAAAATTCTTAGCAAAAGATTTAACCTAAAATCAAAAATAAAACAAATTTATGAGGAAATGATAGGTAGGCCTAGAATTGATTAGACCATGCAAGAATAAAACTATACTCACTGTTTCTGGTGGGTAACAATAGATTTGGCAGAATAAGAGATAATTCATCCAATCATTTTTCTGTCCGCAGTATTCTAAGAATTTTCTGGGAAGAGGCAAATTGTGTAAGACTGCGAATTGAACAGCAAGTCCTTGCTTATAAATATCCAATGGCAAACTGTTTTGAAGAAGTTCATACATTTCTTGAGGATGCAGAGCTTTTTCTTCAGACATTGTGAGGTGCAATGGTACCTCTAAAAACGGAATAGAAAATAAATAAATAAATAAATAGAATCACATAGGTTCTTGCAGAAAAATTAAGAAGTCTATTTTTTAAAAAAATTGTCAACTTATCTAAAATTCAAACTAACCGAAAGTGTCATCACAGTTTTGGTTGATAACTAGAAATGAAATGATTTGTTTCATTACTGCCAAATGTGTGCGTAAGGATTGTGATGATTCTCCCAGCATTTCCAAAAAGGCAATGCATGAAGCAGTTATCAATTGATTGTTGGCATTTTGGTAGGCCAGTTCATGGGCAAACAAAACAGGTCTTTTTAACCTAGAAGTTTCATGAAATCAATCAGTAATCTCACAAGATGTATTGCACAGAGAGAGAATAAAAGTACAGGAATGTAACAGCGAGTGCTAAGCACTTCAGAAGACAAGAGAAATATTTTTTTTCATTGTTTTCTTGAAACATGCAGGTCAAAGGCACAAAGAATAACTTACAATTTGCGAGATGGCCTTCCAAAGTTTTTAATAATATCAGATTGAATTAGCATTGATGCATGGCATGGTCTTCCTTGCTTTAAATAATATTTATAGTCTAAAGTTTCCTTATGGCCATACATACTAATTGTAGGCTCATGAGAAAAGTCAATCTCAGTTATTTCTGATTCATCTTTAAACATGCTAAACACAATGAACAAATCAAAGGGTAACTATTTAAAGCTTCAATGATGAATAAGAATAAAAACTAACTAAGCGTGGTCACCTGGATAAAGACTGATGTTTAAGAATGGAATGGTTGGATGTTGAAGAAAATCTCTGCCTTAAGAGAGATGGGAGAGATAAATCTTTTGGGTGAGACCTGTCCATTTGTTTAGTCAAAAGAAGTTTAAGGTGTGGATATTGAGTTAACATATCATGATTGTCACCAAATAACTGGAAGCAAAAGCAGTTGCAGACTTTACCATTTTATGAATTAGGGCAAAAAGCAAACAGCTTTTCGTAAATGCACTTACGTTATCCGCCATAAGAAAACAGGACAAAGATATCCATTGCTGGGACTCTGACAGATTAAGATAGTTGGCACAATACTTAACACAATCACAAAGTGCTTTTTTAGAGATAGGATTTTCCTTTAAGATTTTACATTTTGAGTAAAGTTCTAACCAAGGAGAGGTTTGATTTTCTGTTGTAATGTCACAGGATACTAATAAATCAGGAATATTATGACTGAGACAAAAATTGACAAATACTTCTCGAATATTTTGATCCGACATATGAAAAATTTGACTGGTGCGAATAGCCCTGAGCAGAACTTTTTGAACACTTTGGGATTCCAGATTGGTGTAGAGTCCATACCTAAAACAAATTGGGTATAGAAACTGATGAGCAATTAAGAAACTACAGTTACGTTTCATTTTGTCATCTTACTTACTTGCTCAAGTAGTCTAAAAGAATTTCTTGAGTACTGACAGAACATGCACAATTTTGGATCTCGTCAATCATATCTTGAGACAAACTCCAAGATGATAAAAATGTAGTCAGCCTATCTTGCTGGGACTCTAAATGTTCAGAGCAGGCAGCATGTATCCACTTAATAAGGACATCTGTTTGATTTCTACACAATAAATAAGTCCAACAATCAGCCTTGTTTAGCATTGGCTCCAGTGTTCCATCTGTTCAAAAATTTATTTAAAACACAACAAAAATATAGTTGACTGATTTTGCAAAATACAAAAATTATTACTCATGTTCTGACTGAAATCATACTTGATGTTTTAAAGTAAAGCTCAATCAATAGAGATGTCTTTGCATTAGCTAGGTGTGGTAATGAAGTCAACATGGTAGACATGGAAAGTTCAAGTTGTTTTTCTCCATCAACTAATGTGTCTACTTGGAAACTTCCTTTGGATATTCTGATAGCACTACAATGGTACGTGATATTAGTACAAGGTCATTAGAATAATGCACAAATAAAACAAAATTTGAGGCAAAACTCACAACTCAGTTTCCTTAATGACCCCCTCGATAAGAATGAGAAATTTCCAGATATCGACCTCTGTAGGTTCTAAGAGACCAATAGAATTCAATTCAAATGCTAGGTAATCCCTGATGTTAGAGTCAACTGTATTCAAACACATATTTTTCAGAAATGGCCATACATCTCTGTTCTGTAAAGTAATTTGTTTCTCATCAATTTACCAGTCAACCTATAAGAACATGAATTTAATCAATTATGCTTACGGTGTTGTAAATTACATCCTTTGCAATTTCCATCTGTCTTTTTCTTAAGAGTTCATTGATATAAGCATCAGCTACACATTGAACAAATTCATTTACTTGAGAAGCAGATTGTCCGCGTGATAACAGGAGCTCTTTGGCACATACTAATGAATCAAAATTGAGCAAAGCATGCTGAACAACCTAGAAGAAAAGAAATACTCTTCAGGATGTGAAAATAAATAAAAAATAATGACACAGCAAAGGATAAGAAAAGTATACTTCTTCATCAGTCTTTGATGATAAATGATTCATTAAAAAACTAGACGTAGGATTCAAATGTACTCGTCCAATTTGACCAATTTGACCTTTAGTTGGAAGAGACTGAAGTGGAATGAAAACTTCTTCACTCAAATTTTTCAGGAGATTAAAATTAAAATTAAGCTGAAAATAGAATCTGTATTGATGGATGCAAACATGCCTAAAATAAGGTCATTTATTTTTAAAATTATGAGCGCAATACTTACCAACTCTAAAACTGCATTCTTCTGCTGGATTGATATAGAGTTAGCAGCTAATTTGACACCTTCCAACTCAAAAATTAGTCCATTGATGTGGTCTACTGTAAGGTTCAACACATTGCGCCCAAAGGATGATGACTTATCACATTTTTTTAGGTGATTGAAAATAGTTTCAAACAATATTGCCATTCTAGCCACATGTTCTTCGGCAAGGGTTGTCACTCCACCAGTTAAGTACCGTACAAATTCAGATCTGAAAGCTAATTGCACAATAGCACATGAATATCACTAGCACCAAATATATTTTGTGTCAACAAATCAGATTTGGAAAAATTTATATTAACTTATACCTTTCCTGTGTAATGTGAATGCATTTTGCAGAACTTCAAGGCGCCCTCTGCTTAAGCCATCTAGCAGTTGAGGCAGTGGTATCATTGTGAACTTGCGAGTTTCCTGGTCTGGACTGGATTCACCCGAACGACCCAACAGGTACCAATCTCTAGGCACCTCCACAAATTTTCAGTTTAACATGTATAGAACGCTACAGTGCAATCATGGTAGAAAATGAATGCAATCTGTACATGAAATATGACTCAAGTCGGGACAGAGCAGCACATGACATAATGACGCTGCTCTGTGTTTACATTTTCTTGTTGTGACTAATAGCACAGAATGACATCCAGAGAGATAGGTTAGGTTCGGTGGACTTTGATGGTGGGAACGAAGATCAAACATGATCAAATCACATTACATGCTTAGAAGTACCATCATTAACACGTCTCTTTTTAAACCTCCTCAGTGACTCATACTGTCAATTTGAAAACTGGTATCAAAGAGGTAAGTGCATTTTTCTTATTTCGTCTGTACTCTTCAACAAACAAAACAACACTAGAACAAAACAAAAGATCACCGCCCGCTTTGAAAAGGCTGGCTTTTCTGTGCTTCATTATAACTATTCAGAGTACGGCCTTTCTGCGAGGCTACGAGTCATGGAGGGTGGATAGGCAACCAGGTGTGCGGAGGGTGCGGAGCGGGATCCAGGATTGAAAGGGATAGGATAGGACCAAAGCTTTGAAGAAAAAAGGAAATGATAGAGCAAAAATCAAATGAGAAAAAATTTCTTCCCCTTTTTCAAAATGTGTAAATGCAATAGAAAACCAGAAAAATGTTTCCATTATTTTTTATTTCATGAATAACACATGCAATTGCAACTTATTAATTCGACAGCTAACAAGTTGCATTGTTGCAATGATGCAAATTAAGTAACAAAGGTAAAAGTAATTACTTTTTGGTTTCCTTTGAACTACCGCCTTGCATTCAAAACGGTGAAGCAAATTGTGTTAGATCAAATAAGAAATTAAGTTTAGCAGGTACAATAGCATGAACAAGAATTAAGTCATATTACAGATACAAATTATACAGCACTTCAGCCACATAAATGTTGTACTTGGGATAATGACAATGGTACCAGAATAAGGGAGGGAAAAAAAGAGTATCACAGGTAGGTAACAGATTCAGCTCAGAAACAAAATGAATTCTTCAAGTTCATTAAGTATAAATGAGTGATTTGCACTCTTGATCACAATAGAATACACAATAACAATACAATAATAGTAAAAATAAAAAACATACATTACAACTAACTCACTCCAGTTAACAATAGAACATTATAATTAGTCTTTATCAGAAAGATGAACTGTCATGCATAGTATCTTTGATGTGTCTAGTCAGCACTGGTATCATCTCTTGCTAAGGAGTTACTTGAAAGATCACTGGTCTTATCATCTTCTTGTCTGTAAGGAAGTGAGCCGCCGCCTTTCATCAACAGGTTCGACTGAAGTTTCCCGTTGATGTAAGCAGGAGGCAATACTTTAAGAGCAGCCACTGGAACAGTGACTGTAACAACACCACTGCCTTTCTTTAAAATTTTAATTGTTTTGGTGGCACTTTCAACATTTTGAAATCTATTGTTTGGTTCTTCTTCAATAAAACTTTTCTTTTTAGTCAAATTTTTAGTATCACTTACACCTGTTTCAAGATTGTTTCTCATGTTCCCCAATGCTGAACTAGATTGAACGATTGTCCTTGTTTTAGGCGAATTGGGGGGATGAGAGGCACCTTTGGTATCACTTGCACCTGTGGGATGATGGTTCCCAATGGTCCCTGACGCTGAATCAGATTTCACCATTGTCCTTGTTTTAGTCGAATTTGGGGGAGAGGCACCTTTAGAATCACTTGCACCTCTTGGGTGATTGCTTTCAATGGTCCCCAAAGCTGAATTAGATTTAACCATTGTCCTTGCAGTTGTAAAGGATACTGGCCTCCTGAGCCTCCTGAGCCCATGTTGAATCAATATTGCAGAATGTGATGATGAGCTATTGAGTTTTGGAACCGAAACTACTGACGAAATACGCAAAGAACTCACAGGGTCAACACTTGATGACAGTTCTGTTTGAGTAGACAAGGGAGATGAAGAAGAGGACTTTGTGGAGTAAACTGATGATATTTGTAGGGTAGAAGTGGATTCTGAACTAGAAACTGGCAGAGTATCTACTCCGACAGATGCATCAGGACTTGAGGGTGAGACAACTTTGCTTGGCTCGTTCCAGTAAGAAGCACCTGATCCAACAGAAGATATTTTTAAAGGTGGCTCAGAGCCTCTCCTTTGTAAGAAGGAAGTTACAGCTGAAGGTGAAGAACAGCTTCCTTCATATGCAGCTGACTCAATAGAACTCCTTGGCATGGATATTTCACCTACACTGGTTTTCAAGTTGCTTCCACAAGGAGGGCAACTCGTTTCTACTTTGATAGATGGGCTCTGCTCAGATTCAAGTTGGTTCCTTGAATCTAAATTATCTTCAGGATCTTCCAGAAATACTGGTTCCTCTTCATTGTCAGCAGAAACAGAGAAAGTCTGTTTTCGACAGTGTTTTATATTATAAAACCCAGAAGAGGAAACACATTTGTTTGGCGAAGAGTCAGGAAATCCAGATTTGATTCGTTTTAAAATGTTGGGCTGTTTTCCAGGTGATGTTTGAATATCTGCCATACACTCTAAAGGTGAGGAAGGTCTTGGCGGCGAAGAGAGTGGAACATACTTGATGCCTCCTTCTTCAACACAGATATTTAAGCGGGAAAATGGAGACAACCGGCATGCTAGCCCATTCATATTATGCAAAATATCCTTTCTTGGACTGGGTGTTAATTTTGCTGTAATATGTTCTTTGGTTTGGGTTTGCTCTTGCTGCGGCATTCTAGATTCTTCATTCTCATTTCTATCAACAGATTTTTCTGTTGTATTATTCATTTCCTTGACTATGAAACCAGATTTAAACGTTAGAGTTTTGTTAGTATTCCTGCAGTGGCTTTTTGAGGAACGCTGACAGTTTTTGGAATTATTTGCAGATATGGTAGATTGTGATAGTTTTGTACTTTGAAACATAGCTAAACCCCTGAAAAAAACATAAACAAATGCATTTAAATTATGATTCAATTAGTGAATGGTCCTGGGCAACGCCGATCTGGTAATGCAAATTTGAAATGCGTCTCACAGGTAACACCTTTTAGATACATTTAATCTGCATTGCCGCATTAAATAAGTCGTAATAACTTGTAATGCACCTTAAATGCATAGAAAAATTGTTACCCTCAAAGTGCATTGCCGCATTTAAAGCACATTAATTTGCAGTGGCGCTACTACTGATAAGACACTTAAAACAACTCACAGACTACTTATTGATTGTTGGCTGTTCCAAAGAATATCCAAATCTAATTTTTCCAAAAAGTTTGGGATAACAGTTCCAGGAATTCCTGCAAATAAATAAATAAAAAGAATAAACCATTGTGGTGAAAGAATATGAAACAAACAAAAGAAAGTATATAGAATTAAAAATTTGCTTACCATTAAGTTTGCGGCTTAAAGAAGAGATCAATGTGTCCCTCATTACTTTTTTTGCTTCATCTTCATAATAAGTTGGATCATGTGCATCGCTAGATTTCAGTACCTCTTTCTTTGCCTGGAATAATCAAAAAACTATATACTGATGGATATTTTGAATATTTGAAATTTAGCCACCAGTTAAATACATGTTACATCAAGACGAAAGACAAGATGCACTAGCACTTACCAAACCTATGGCATCCGGTAGTGGCATATTTGAGTAGTCCTGACGGTCTCCTGATTTCTGTTCTTTCCAAGTTGAAAATTTAATTTTAAGTTCATCATCCTTTAACCAGTCAATCCAATCTTCACCTAACTTGCGTAGAGATTTATCATCAGCAGTACGTATGTCCAGTAACCCATACTTTGTCAACATCTACAAAGTAAAAAAAAAGTTTAAAAAAAGTTTTCAAGAAGGTATTTCAAAAGAATTAATAAAATATATGTTGATACTTACAAAGTATCCATTGAATACTTCAGGTGAAAATTGTGGTAAATGAGCACACTTTTCTTTATTCCAGACGCCTCTCCATGCAACACATCTACAAATATCATGCCTTCTCAGAACCACAGCACATTTTTGACGTAGACATGCTAACTTGAAATGGATCAGCCTATGAGGAAGCAAATGAGATCGACAAATTAGAATGCAGTCAAATGTAGCATTATGAATAGCATCATTGAAGCAAGAATAAGTTTTACCTGTTGATCTCCTGAATAAGTTCTTCTCTAGTGTGGAAAAATTGGAGCAAACCTGGTTGAGTAAAATGTGGAACGGATAATGCATCAGTTGGCAAATAAGTAACAGGCAAAAAACCTATTCCCACACTTGGAATCAAGTACTCCTGAAAATTAAAAAGGCAAACAAGAAGTTAAAGAGAAAACACCAAAAAGCTTGGGTAAGAGAGAAAATATGAAACACTTACTACTTTCAGTTCTGGAAGATCTCGGCAATCATCAATGTGGCTATTTACGCTATGATCTGTTTCTGCTTCCAAAAAGGTTCCGACTTGGGAACATTTCTCAAGTGGAACATTGGAAAGATTTGATTCATGAGATCTTTTCTTATGCTTGATGGAATGTTTCTTATGAAAATTCTCTGGTTGGATAATATTTTCCTTGTCTGCAACAGGGCTGATTAAATTGTCTTGCCTTTCTTTGGAACTCTCTTTGCCTTCATATGAGGATTCACTCCATGTTTTAACTGATTCGATATCGCTACCGTAGCTCTCATAATTTGTAATACCACTGCTACTTGTTGATGACTTCTTAGGCAAATCTAGGTGAATAAAAGCTGATGTTACAAGTTCTGTATTCCAATTTGAAGTTATACAGATACTTTGGTGAGAGCACTTACCCTCTGATTCATTCACAACACATTCTGTCCCATTATGATGACTTGGCAAGTCAGTCTGGGGGAAACCTCCATTTTCAACCTAAACATATACAAACATTCAACTTAAACATTCATGGGAATTTAGATACTTCCCAAAGTGATAGTGTTAAGAACATACCTGTTCACTGGCTGCTGTTGGGATGAGTGATTGAGCATCACATTTTCTGAAAAAGAAATAAAAAAATGTCTGAATGCCTTAGAAAATTTGCATTGACAATTAGAAAAAGAACTGAGAAAAAATTAAAGTTATTACCTAATCTCACTTCCAGAGCTTTCGTACCACATTCCTTTGACATACTTTTCAGGTGGAGTCTCTGTGTGCAAAGACAGTGCTCCTTGTGCGTTTACTCTTACAAATTCTCCTCCACCACAGTAAAATAAAGGAATTTTCTCATATTCAGTCCTTTCATCAGACAAAACTTTCTGAGCATAAACATGGAACCTCGGCTCTTTAGAGTAGTCATAAGGACCAATAAGCACTTCAGTTGGCCGATTTGGTAAACTGTAAGCTCCAAAGTCAGGGTAAGGTGTAGGCCTTGGATCAATTTTAGGTCTTCTTCGATTGAGGAGGATACGGTGCATTTTTGTTTCACTTTCTGAATATTCATTTGATAATTTGACCAGAGTTGAGATTTGATGTTTAGTGATAGCCTTTTTAAAATCCATAAAATATATCAGATCAAAATCCTGTCTGATGTCCATAACCCACCATCGATGACACAAATTTTCCTCTACTGTAGACAAAATGTCAATTTCAGGGTTTTCACATAAAGTGCGATTTTTTTGTCCCGGCTGCATATACCCCACTATCATCCAATGAGATTTAATGGACTTCACAATCCACACACATTGACCTTCTATATCAGACAGAGAGTAATCAGACCTTAAGGACTTAACGTGAAATGGAAATTCTTTGTATTCTTGGCTAAGTTGGTCTATGGATTGAATGTCAATGCAGTTTTCAGTGGGTTTTAAATGAGAACAAGTTAAGTAAATTTTGGGTTTGGAGGTAACTGACTTGATCCACACAAATGCATTCTTCTTGTCAATATCGTCCCTGAGGCCTTTCCATGACAGCAGGCGGACATGTTTGTTCTCAGAATTTGATGAGGGTTTGAACAAAGCTGTACAAGATAGCTCTAAATTTGAAACACCATCAAGCTTGTTATTTGACTTTTCCCATTCTTCAACCTTAACAGATTGTGTGGACACAATTTTCAGATCACTGGCAGCTTCAATTTTCTCACACGGAGACTCACTTAAGAGCTGTTTCTGTTTATCTTTGCGATCGTCCTTGGACTTAAAGTCATAAAGTCCAGTCCGAGCAGAAAAAGGTGAATCTTGTGAATCGAATATTTCACTCTCTGAGCTTGTATTAAGAATGTCTGTTACCTCAGAACCCCCTTTTTCAGGTATGGTCAAACAGGTATTTTTAGAGCCAGTACTTTTTCTGGATTGTTTAAGTTGATTGTTATCTTTGTCAGGTAAATGAGTTTCTTCAAGAACTCCTTTAATGGTTTTCATAGAACCAAACTGACGACAAAATCTCAGATCAGTATCTGCCACAAAGTCCTGACGATACCTATTAGGAAGCTTAATTTCTCTTTTTTTCCTGCCTTCTACAAGCACTAGACCATCCTTGACGGACCGCACAACTGTTTGCTTGAAATGCTGTTCTTCTTTAGCTAAATTTGCCTTTGCTTTGTCCTGCATCCAAGTGTATGATGGGTCATTGTATGCTTGTTCCTTTGAGTGGGGTTTAGAACAAACACAACCAAACATGCATTCCTCCAAACCACAATGATCCCGACCAGTTTTGGTAGAGAGGCTACTGCACACACAACCCAAATTACACACATCACTAGTTTTGCACATAATAGGTTCCTGGTGATTTGGCATATCGAACACAGCAACATTCAAGCGTCGTAACTCATGCATAACATGTGACTTCATTCCTCGAGTAGTTTCCCTAGGTTCTTCTGTTACAGCTTCAGTCGAGCAAACACCTCTAGTATCGTCTGGGTCATAAAAAATTTGGGGGAATTTTTCTACAGTTATCAAGGGAACATTCCTAGTTTCTTCATCTGAATCAGTCAAATTCAAAATGCTTGTATCTAAATACTGTAGCCTTTTCCGTTTTAGTGCATTGCTTCCTCCTTTCTCAATCTTTCTCGTTAACTTTTCTTCATTTCCAGCAATAAGAGTTGGCTTTGAGCGTTCTCTTAGCAACTTCTGCACATTTTCTGCATCTTCCTGACATATCTTGTTGGGTGTACTAACAATGCATTCTGAAGTAGAGACTAAGTCAGTATTATCCTCTGGATTTGTATTAAGATCAATACCAGACCGGTAAATGATGGGACTTTTCCTCTTCCGTTTCACTAGTTTTCTGTTGTTTTTCTTATCATGCACAGACTTTTCATCACATTCAAGACTTTCTTGACAATTTCTTTTAATGACACTGGTAGAATGTTTATCTGTGTTTTCGTTTAAATCTTTTGATGCCATCTCATCTACGTCTGAAAGAATTCGATGTTCAGTATTGATATCATGCATTCCTCCTGGAGGAGATTGAGGTTTGGATAAAGCTATTCTTTGAAGAGCTGGTGAAGATTGCCATTTTATGCGCATGAACTGAAGAACTCGCTCATCATCTATAGGAATCAAAACTTTCGCAACAGGCAACTGAGCAGAGGCTTTCACAACACATGAACTAAATTCAGCAAACTGAGGTGTCAAGGATGTTTGACATTTTTCAAGGCATGTTAATACACATTTGGCTTGTAAGGTAGGAAGTTGATGTCCAACTCCAACTTTAACTGAGAGGCCAACGGGAGGCATAGGACAAGATGGCTGCGCCCTTTCTATAGGTGATTTCTCAATTACATCACTTATGGTTTTAGTAGGCTGTTCTAGTGTTTTGATATTCAAATTCTTGCAGTGGGATAAATTATTTTGGTCTTGCACTAGAATTGTTTGGGCTGATTCAGATGCAGCATCCAATTCAGAGCCTGAGTGATCAAATGTCTCACACGAGCCAAATTGAGCGGGTGAAGTCTCATCAGGACTGACTAAAAGAGAAGATTTTCGGAGCAGAGTGCTGCCATACTTTTGGAGAAGGTGATGCTTGGCTTGGTTTGCAGTAGACAAGGAGTTGCTGTTCCCAGAATGTCTTCTTTTGTGAGATTTCATCAATGAATGCCGTTTCTTGTAAATATTGAGATTTTTAAATATCTTCACACAAGTCCTTGCCTTTGGATCTTTATCACTTACTTCATTAACTGACTTTGTTTTAAAAACTTCTTGACAGTGTATCTTTTGTTCTAAGTAAGTAGAGGCTGGTTCCATAAACTCTGTTCGACGAGAACCTGTCTTAGTAGGACTTGACATACAAGAGCTTTCCGTTGCCTCTGAAATGATTTCAACTTCTTCATCACTCTTCTGGCTTGGAACTGCGAGGTGTGAGAGCATTGTCTCAGGTAAAATGGAGCGGAGATCTCTCAAAACCACCCTACACTCTCGGCGCAGTTTCTCATCTTCCATGATGAATAGTGGAAATCAAATTCCATAAAAGAAAGTGGAAAACTTCAGTTTTTGAAAGATTGCCTGAAAAAGAAAATCACAGATATAAGGAGTTATGTAAATGAAGATATAGCAGAGTAGATCACCCATGACGCCATGCGCTTTAATAGCGTCACCGATGTGTCACCTCTTTTATGTGCACTGAACGCCGTAATGCTTTAAAAGCCCTAATGCGCTTTTAAAGCGTCACCAGGCATTGAAGCAGTAAAATGCGCAAAAAAGTTAACACATATGAGGAAACCTTCGACGACGACGACGTACCCGCCAGAAAGCACCAAACCCATCATGCGCTTCGCAACTTGACATAAAGGTGACACATTGGTGACGCTTTTAAAGCGCATCAGCATTTACACGCTAAAAGCCGGTGCTTCGTGTCAAGCAAATATTCCGCGCTCCAAACAAAAGTGGTAATTTCCAAGCAGATAAAATCGTTTTCCAAGCGGTATTGCTTGGTTTCCAAGCAAGAAAGAACTCAGAGCGTAAATATTTTTTACCAAGCAGGGGCGCTCCCGTTTTCCAAGCAGATTGCCCGTTTTCCGAACAAAGCCCTCACTCTGCTTCAAAATTACCACTTTTGCTTGGAGAGCGGAATCTTTGCTCGGAAAAAAGCACCCGCTTTTAGCGTGTAGCTACACGCGTACACGGAATGCGCATGGCGCTTAAGCCTTAAGGGTAAGGGTACCTATTAGACCTTAAAAGGTCATGCACATCAAAATGCGTTGAAAACCACATAATTTTTGGCGTGCCAAGTGCGCATTGGAGCGTAACATGCTAATTTTATGCGTATAATGCACATTAAATGCGCCAGAAACCGTGGGACAACGCTTTTGATCGCATATATCACAATCCAGCCAGAAATGGCAAGTTGATCCAACGTTGAATCGACATCAAAGTCGAAGTTTACGTTGAATTTCGGACCGAATATATATTGGTCTGCTCTAAGTTGATTCAACGTCGACGTAAATAAACGTCGATGCCTTTCTGGCTGGGATGAAGCGCACGCGCACGCACGCCGCTAAACAAACGCCAATAAAGCGCATTATTGCGGACGCTTCAATACGAGTAGAAATGCACACTAAAGAGGCACATTGTTGAAACTGGTAAAGCGCATCAAAGTATTTAAAGCGCATTCAGTGCGCATTAGTGCGCACTAAATGCGTTACGAATGTGTCACGTTTTACGTGGATTACTACGCACATATCGGAGCGCGCAATGCGATATCGCCATATGGCGTGCATCTGGGGCGTCCACCATGAGTGTGACGAAGGAAATGAGTACGGAATATTTAAATGCTAACACTACGCATATTATGAATGCATATTGCATTCGTACATGTGCCTTAGATGGGCCAATAATGTGTTACGAACTTATTGGGAAATATGCGCATGGTTATGTACGCTTATGGAAGCACCATATGCGCCGGGACACCGAGAGTCACCTTCATGCGCATTTCTACGCCTATTGAAGCGCATTCAACTCGTTTGGCCATGTTCCGGCGCGACTTGGGCCTTCCAGGTTGAACACTGGCGACGCATTTGATGAAATGCGGTTAAAAATGCGACAACGGATGTTAAACTCGTGCGCATTTTCTCAGCGGCGTCATCAATGCGCACTTGCGCTCTTGTGTGCAAACTGTGCGTTCCCCGGGAAAGTAGAACTTGTAAACTCTACAAACTACAATTACGGCAACGCGGCCGACGCGTTTACAACTGCTACATGAGCAAGGGCAATTGAGGAGCTCCTATCTTTTTCTGAAAACAGGTACAACTCGCCGCGGCGTAACACACGACGACAGTGTTTCGCGCCATTTACTCCCCGCCTCCCCCGGCAACAAAATGGCGATTGTAGGCTGCCCTAACCCCAACACGTAAATCCAAAGCGCTTGCAACGAATCGTTGGATAAAGCCACCAACTTAACCCCTTTCAGATGCAAAGCGCCTAAAGCTTTGCTTGCCGACTGATTTTCACCACTTACATTGCTGCAATCATGTTGTTTTCCTTGTTTGGCGAGGCGATGATTTGTTTGATGTCCTCCTTCTGACTCAACACCGCACTCAACCAAAGCACTTCCGGTCCCTTCAAATTTGGTGCCACTCCAGCCCCGCTCAAATCATTCGAACACCAAACAGTAGGTGTCGGTGTGGAGGGTGCCGTCCCAAACAGTAGGCGGTGCGAGGACAGCTTAGGTCATCGTTTCGAGTGAGATAAGAGTCCAACATATTCTTCCTTTCCTAATTGAATGAAACAGAAACACAACGGGTTCAAATTAAGGCGTGCGGCGGAAGTTGGATACATGTCACAGCTTCCTGGATTCTGAATGGAAGATGTAACGCAAAATAAAGGTTTTCAGCGTGGGAGACACGCACATACCAAAGAATGATTAAGGCAAACAAGAACTGAAAAAAGGAAACCTAAAGAAAGCACAAATTTCCGGGACGCCCCCGGGTTTTCCCGGGCTTTTTTCCAAAAGGTTTTTCCCCCCCCCCCCCCCCCCGCCGTTTCCAACCTATTGGTGAACGCTTTCTTCTCTTGAGTGTACAACTTAATTCTACGACGTTATCATGGAAATATGTGAATTATAAGGATCACGAGCGACTGCTTAAGTTACAGGACACAATTGACAACTCATTCACTGTGCCACTCATGTAAACAAAAAGGCAAACCCTAACCTCTCCAAGGCTAAGCTGGTGAAGGCCGAAAGCAAGTGTTTGGATACGGCGTGTACTCGAGGTATTATCTGACAATGGCGTACCTTTGAATGATATGGGCCGCAGAGATCGCGAAGAATGCCAAACAAAGCTCAAAGAACTCGACAAGAACACATGTTTACAGTTTTGAAAGCATTAAACTCTTGCGGCGAAGTACTAGCAAGGAGCCATCTTGAATATGCAATACAGGTTGTTAAACGTGATAACGACAAACATACGTGCTTTTAACAAGGTGTTTGTTTACAACTAATGGGCGTGACTCTTTGAGTACACGAAAGGGGTTATTTTATCTCCGAAAATTCTTAGGGCCTACTTAGCATAGCTGTCGACGGGAAGCAAAAACTTTACATTCGTGCAGTAAATGCGGCCCGCCGCTCAACGACTGCGCGTGCGGCGAGGCAAAGCCAACAACGGCGATTTTTCGGAGCGTGCAATAAAAAGGAACTATTACCATAAAAACTCAAATATGCACTATTTAATAACTTATATTTTAGGCTCCAACAAATGTAGGTATTTGGAGCGTGTCGTGTAGGTAATATTAATAAATAAGGGAGAACAGTGGTTTGCCAATAAGCGCCACGTGGTGTCGGGGGAAATACTTGTGCGTCCCAAACAACGGCAATTTCGACTGAATTATGATTTTAGATCAAAACTTTAACAAAGAACTAATGTAAAACTGCATATTGCAATAATTACTTAATTCATGTAGCGTTTTGTACGCATTGGAAATGCGCATAAAAAGTGACATTGGTGACGCATATGAAATGCGCGTAATGCGCACTAAATGAGCATGAAACACTGTAGAGCGCTTTACAAGCACACATTTTGTGTGCATCACGCGCATTGAAGCACATGCGCTTAAATGCGATTAAATGCATTTAATGCGTTTGGCGCTACTGGAGCGGGGGGGCAGGTATTTCTCCAAATAATCGGAAGATTAAGATCCTATTCCCGTGTGCGGTAAGTGGAATGCCAGTTTAAAACTAATACTAGACGCTAAATCTCACGACCGAAACCACGTGCCCCATTACCCCTTTTCGCACCTTTGTCCAGAACTGGCGCCAAAAAGTTCAGTGTTGCCACACGCCACACCAAGCAAAATCTTGACCGTTCAACATCCAAATCCGAAAATCTAAAAAAAAAAAGTCAGGCGGGTGAGTTCAAGGAAATAAATTAAATTTGAATCGATATTTGGGTTATTGAATACTTCCCTGGGCGTTCAGGCGTTCATTAACAATAACATTCAAGGTGCCAGCTTCAAGCAGGCAGTGATTCGCGTAAACATCATGGCCGAAAATAAAAAGAACTCTGGGCTCGGTTAAACAAATTTTTCCTAATTTTACAAGTTTCCTTGCTTGTTTGCGTTGTCAGTTTGAATTTCTTGCATTCTGCATTTGCCCACGGCCGTTCTCTGCACCTTGGCAGTGTCTTTGGTGGTTCCAAACGCACGCTAAAGGACGAAATATGTCGACTTTTGTGCCGGGGACAGCAGCCCAACCCACCTCTGAGGTTGAAGTGACAATATCGTGCAGGTGAGGGGAAGTACCTCCATTCTATTTCTAACGTGTAGTTAAGGTCTTAAGTCCTGAAAATCATTTTTTTCTTTCGTACATGTTTACTTAATTTAATGAAAGTAACATTTATGTTCAATAAGAACCTGTCCCACCTTTTGTTTTACCTATATTTCAGGTCACTCAAAGGGAAAGATCTATTATCAAAATCGGATCCTATGTGTGTTGCCTACATCCAACCATTTGGTCAGAAGCGCTGGGTTGAGATCTATCGCTCAGAAGTCATCAGTAATAATCATGACCCAGATTTTGCAAAGAAGGTGCATATGCCTTATCGGTTTGAAGAACAACAAAGCCTTAAGTTTGATATTTATGATGTAGACTCTAACAGTTCTGACCTGCGAGATCATGACTTTCTTGGAGCTGCATCTTGTTCTCTAGGACAAATCATATCTAATGGAAAGGTAAAGTTCTATTATCTTGGGCATATATTTATCACCACACGCCTTATTCCTTTGATTCATTCTTTAAAATATGTATCTAACTTTATAAACAGGTAAAACTGCCCTTACTGAAAAATGAAACTACTTCAAGCGCTGAAAGAGGTTTCATTGTTTTGACTGCTGAGGAATTATCTGCACTCAAAGACGAAGTTACCATTCAATTCAGTGGACATAAATTGGATAAAAAAGATTTTTTTGGGAAGTCAGATCCATTCCTTATAATTGCAAAATCTCAAGAATCAGGTGATTACAGTATTGTACACAAAACAGAGGTAAATACTGAAAATTGGCAAATTCAATGACAATTATACCAATTAATAACGGTCTATAATTATTAATTTTTTTAACTTTGAGTACTACTTAGGTATTTTATGAGATTCAATTTATTTTAAGGAAATCAAATGTACACTGAATCCTAAATGGTCAAGATTCACAATACCTGTGCGCACTTTGTGCAACGGTGACTACGACCGCAATTTGAAAATTTCATGCTATGATTGGAATGCCAGTGGAAACCACAGCTTTATCGGTGAATTCTACGCTACTCTCAAGGAACTTGGTCATGCCACGAATTCATTTTCATGTATCAATGAAGAAAAGAAGGTTGACTTATTTCCTAACCTATCTATCTATCTTTATTTCATATGCTCTCTACTTAAGTGTTTGTTCAGCTCTATTAGGACAAGTGCATCTTTTGTGCACTGTCTGGAGCAGTTCTTGTTAAAAGTAATTTTGTATGAAAAACTTTAAAAATCAGCAATTTTATGAAAATTCGAATTTTATCCACATAGATATTATCAACAATTTTTTTTTTAAATTTTGCAATTAATTTTTTTTTTAAAACTCATAAATAGATGATTTATTTTCCAGAAACGGAAAGGTGATGCATATACACATTCTGGAACAATAAAGGTGGATTACTTTCAAATCAATAAGATAAATTCCTTCATGGATTACATAAAAGGAGGGGTGCAGCTACATTGTTCCATTGCTATTGATTTTACAGGTAATTTAGTTTCAGTTGTGGTTCAAGTAAAATAGGGATGAGAATCAATATGCAAGAATAGGAGTCTTTTTCATTCCAGCACTTTTAAAGTTTTGAAACGATACTATTGCTATCAACTATTTTCACTTTCTATACTCTTTAGGTTCTAACGGTGATCCTTCAACACCTCAATCATTGCATTATGTTAGCAATGTGCCTAACTCTTATGAGTTAGCCATACGCTCTGTGGGACAAATCATACAAGATTATGATTCGGATAAACAGTTTCCAGTGCTTGGATTTGGAGCCCGCCTACCTCCGGATGGCCGGGTTTCACATGAATTTTTTGTTAACATGCATCCTGATAATCCGTACTGCTCTGGAGTGGATGGTAATGCAACTACAATGTGTTGAAGATTTTGCTTTTTACTAACAAACTTGCTTAATTAAACCAATGGTATCTTTCACATCAATTTTGTCTGTAGGTGTTTTAGGTGCATACCATAACTGCATTCGCCAGGTTCAACTTTATGGACCCACAAATTTTGCTCCCGTAATTAATCATGTTGCAAGATTTGCTAGCGTTTACAAGGATGGCTCCAACTATTTCATTCTTCTTATTTTGACTGATGGGGTGATAACAGACATGCCTCAGACAGTTCAGGTTTGCTTTCATTCAATTTCTCATGGTCTGACGTATGAAAACCCATGGCATTATCACCAAGTTCTCTTTCTTTCCAGGCAATTGTTTCTGCTTCTCTTCTTCCAATGTCAATTATAATTGTAGGAATTGGCAATGCAGATTTTTCTGCAATGGAAACTCTTGATGGAGATACAGTTGCATTGCAGAGTGGGAAGCAGCGAGCGGCGCGGGATATAGTTCAGTTTGTACCTTTCAACAAGTTCATGACATCAGGTGATCCACAAACAGCTAGGCTGCGATTGGCAAGGGAAGTTTTGGCTGAGATACCTACTCAATTCTTGGGGTACATGAAGTCTCACAACATTTTTCCTAATGTACCTACAAATCAAGCTGAGGTGCTGCTGCCCCCTGATCCTGAAGCTTTAGCACTCCAGTAGAGTTCTGGGTGTTTTGCAACAACATTGCAATGTGTTATTTGAACACACTGAACACAATTCTCACTTAAATAATTGTGCTATGACTCTTTGTCAAAAGATATTTGATGCTTAACTTCCAAGCAATTTGGAATATTTACAAATGATCCTTGCAAGTACAAATTATGCTATGGTACATAATTTAAAATAGTACAATGTACACATACTAAGAGTGGACTCTACAACACAAATTATTGTTGTCTTCTACTTTAATCTTTATCTTCATCCATATTCTTGCCTTCGAACAAATGCTTAATATTTTGTACTAATGTGAACACTGCTTGAGACAGTTTTTCTTGCTCAAATTCCATTGGGTTTTCCAATTTTAATTTTATTTTATATTGATGTATTTCACCTTGACTTATTTTATATCTACTTCTATACTTTAAAACTAAGAAAAACAATTCTTAAGAAATGTAATTTTTATAATATTTTCCTCTAAGTGGTTTGGAAGTTTTACTTTAATTTTCTTTCGTATGAGTAGTACCTCATACCAAACTATTTCTGCTGCAAATAGTTCGTTTCTCTACTTGAGTATAGTTTGATATGTCAAATCTTACTCGGCTTTTTTCTTCTCTAAAGTGTATTTTTTGTGCCATTATGTCTGTGATTTATTGGTGTTTTCTCTTGCTTTGTACAGTGCATGCGATGTGCAAAGTGCCTTTATTATGGGCAAGTGACAGTTGCTGACTCATGTAACTCTTTGCTCACCTATTCCTTATTGCCTTTTACCAAGCCATATTCTCAGAAGCCAAAGTCTACTTAACAGTTGCAGTTTCCAGCTGTTTGATGAGTCATCTTTTGGATGAACTTTTTGGAGGAATCAATGCACAACCACAAACAAGTATAGTCTATTGCTTAATTATTTTCCTTTTTGAGAAAATGAGCTCTTATAAATTGTCTGCAAAGGACCAATTTTTTATGCCACAATACAAAATCAAATTTTAAACTGTACACTGAATTCTTAGTGTGTCTATTTAAAACCTGTGAAAGATTCTCAGATAATGCCCCAAACCAAGGAGCACAATAATAAAACATTGCATTAAAGTTTCTGCATAGCTTTCATTATATTACATATATATGAATATATACCTTGAAAATGATAAGAAGGAAAGGCTCTGATACTTTAGATTTCATAATCATCTGGATGGTACAATTCACTTAAGAGACGATATACATAAGAAGGTGCATGACCACCACTGAAAAAAAAAGAAAAAAGATTCAATAATCAGAACAGCAGTTATCTTGGAAGTGAAAATCATAATTAAGTAAAGGGAAATATTTTACGTGTTGGAGATGAAGAGAGTGATTAGCTCAGGCGGTACATAGTCAAAAACAGGGCAATAGCGCTTGATTTGAGAAAGTGTTGGGTGATCTGAAAAGTCTAAAACTCCATCAGGTGCAATATAACTGTTAAAACCATCCTGATCATACGAGCACAAATATTGTGGAGTTAATTTGTATAGAGGAGCCAAAACAAAAACCTGCAAAACAGAGGTCAGTCAGTAGTTTACTACAATAAAAAGATATTACAACCCTCATTTTTTACTCACAGGGACAGAGCAGTGTTTTGCAGCTAATGCAACAGCATGACAAGATCTGAGCGCTCTAAGACCACCATTGGCCATGACAGTATGAGTTCCAATAATAACTTTATTTACTCGAGACATAATACCAACAATTGCTCTGTCTCCAATAATGGTGGTATTAATTTTGCTTTTGGCTAAACTAACAGCAAGTTGTTGTCCCTGAAAATTTTTGCAGAAATAAGATTTCAATAATCTTGAAAAGCATTTCAAGGAGGATGTATTGTGATTTCACTGCCCTACCTTCCCAATTGGACCACAATCCACAACAATAACGTCAAACTTCCGATGGGCTGCAGCCTTTCGTAAGAATGACTCCACAACATGAGACATGCCAAGAGTTAAAATGATTTCATTTGAATGGATATGCTCCTGGGCTTGCTGTGCTATATTGTCTATACTACAAGAGGAAGGCAAGGGGAAATTAAATGGCAAAAGAATATAGGCTTTGTGCTTTGCTTTGGCTTTACAAACCTAGTTTCCAACTCCATTTCAAATTCTGAGATGTGCTCTAGAACACCTGATTTTAAATCAGGAACATGACTGCTATAATCTTCACCACTTTCAACGGACGTAATAATTTTGTGAAGAGATTCTTGCGGGTCTATTTCTTCAGATTTGTTCTGCAAGATTGAGAGATGTTCATCAAAAAATAAGCAACCCATCTATCTACTAATAAGTCATAGAATAAAATGTCATCTTCTGGAACTAATGCGGACTTAAAAAAAATAGTCTTACTTTAATTATCTTACTACCAGCAGCATACTCTTCTCTCACAATTTTTAAAACTCTACGAGCCATGTTACCCACGGATGCATGTAAAGGCAAAGCCTTGTGGAGATAGCGTCCATGAGCTCGAATTGTATCCATCATTCCTCTAAAGGGGAGTCACTTTTGAAAACATGTATCCATGATAGTAATTTTAATGTAGATAAATGAATATTAACTTGTTACTTACTGAGCATTTGAAAATTCGCCATCTGCAATCAACTGTTTCAACAAATCTAATGTCTTGCTTGTAATCTCCGAGGACCCGGAATACTTTCTGCAAAGTTGGAGGCACTTTTATTTCAGATGCACGTAAGAAGCTCTATGGGAAGTAACCAATTGTTGGACATGTGACTAGTCATAATATTTTTAAAAATAAGATACGTCCTTCAAAGTCCTGTCGACAGTCACAAACAGGAAACTGCGCAAATTACTGTACAAACTTCAGTCAGCTGTGCTTGAAGGAATCGAAACTCAAAAATATGGAGAAGCAAGCTGCTCAAGTGTCAGACCTCAAACTCCTCATCAAAAGTTACATGCGCCTGTCATAATAATATTTTATTTTAAAGTAATAGTGACAGTCGTACAAGAAGACCGTCAACCCGAAAACCATCATATCTCTAATCATACAATTTGATTCAGGTAACAGTTGGTTCAGGCGAACATAACCTAAAATTAGAGTTAAAAAAAGGAGTTACATAATTTTATTTAATTACCCTTGCTTGACATCTGTCACAAATCGGAGGAAGCATGGGTGAACTTCTTCTTTCGAACTGTCAGCCTTCATTGCTTTTTCCAATATACTGACGTTATGCACAAATAGAGTTTATCGCGACGTGATGGGTGTCCCGAATATAAACAATGAATGAATGGTGCACCTCACGGGGGGGGGGGGGATATCTGCGATGTGCCAAACTGGGCGAACATACTGATGCCATCTCACCCCCTTAAAACCACCTTTGACAAAAATATCTTTTCATAATAAATAACTGTTTTAATTACTTTATTTTGTAATATTTAGTGGTTTAATTTATATCTGAATTTAGAATAAAGGGGTGCTTGTTAAAATTTCATTTATTATGATTAATTTTTTGTCCTGAAAATAGCACAACCTGATAAACCCCACGTGGGCCCACGGATGAAAATTTTAGTTTCAGTTTGAGTTAGCAAGTTGTCTGCTATTTTGTTGTATTGCTTTCCATCGAATTCAAATTCATTTAGAAATGGATTTTAAGAACGGAGAAGACCACCATGTTCCAAAAAAGATATTCTCTAAACAGAGAAAAGCAATTCAGAACATCTCTGCTGATTCCAAAATATCGTTGGGCATCGAGCCTACAAAGGTACGTCTGTTCGCTCTGTTGTTATTATTGTTTTGCAATAAGTTTTTACTTGGGACGGACTAAAGATGTTTATCTTAATCCACGATTTTAATTTTTTAGCAAATAGTCATATGTAATTCAGGACTTTCTCTGGGACTCTTGGAAGAGGATGTAATCAATATTTTTTCACCCTATGGACCCATTGAAGCAGTTGTCATGTTGCCTGACAAAACTTACTGTTTCATGGCTTTCCATAGCAAGGAGAATGCTCTCCAAGCATATCAGAGCTTACATGGAAAATATAATTTTCCTCGGTCTGAGAATCTCATGGTCTTGGCCTTTGCCGATGAGGGTACGTAACCAAAATTAAGGATCATTTTGATAGACTGTCCACTATCCCAGCCAGAAATGCTTTATCTAGAAGATGCCTAGAGTTGGTATTGTCCCATTTACGGACCATTAAGACATCTGTGTAGATGTCTAAATGATCCGAAAATAGACATCGACCAACTTTAGATGTTCCTTAAATGAAGCATTTCTGGCCAGGATCATGTGAAGTAAAACCAACATGTCCATTTTATTTTACCATCTTTAGTGCCTAAAGTCACAAATCCTTGGGCCACTCTCCCACGAGATGGGCCACCTGGGTTGATTGTTCTTGAAGACTTTATTACATCAGACGAAGAAGAAATTCTGGTGAAATTACTTTCATGGGATGATCCAATACAAGGTAATTAGTATTTTAAAACTGATGTTTCATATCATCATGCTACTAAAATTTTAATAAGTGTGCATTTGAATAAAAAATCCAGGGCAACAATTGAAACAACGGCAGGTACAACATTTTGGGTTTGAGTTTCGGTATGGATCAAATGATGTAGACAGACAGAAGCCACTTGCACAAAAAATTCCTGATCAATGTGATTTCTTACAAAACCGTTTGAAAAAACGAGGTTTTTCAAAGTGGAACTTTTATCCTGATCAGTTGACTGTGAACCGATATTTGCCTGGTCAAGGTAGGTGAGGAGTTAAGGTTTTAGTCTCTTTAGGCTGTTTGTGGGTTAAATGCCAATTGTTTGTTACTGGTCTTCAGGTATACCACCACATGTTGACACACACAGTGTTTTCGAAGACCCTATCCTGTCCTTATCAATGCTTTCGGATGTCGTAATGGACTTCAAAGATGCTTCAGGTCACAAAATACCTGTATTTTTACCTCGGCGTTCCCTTACTGTCATGTCAGGGGAGTCACGGTGAGCAACCAAGCAGGTGTTGTCATTTAAGTAGTCTCTGAACTTCGACTATTAACATATTGCATCATGTATCTTGATACAGATTTGGCTGGACTCATGGCATTGCTTCCCGTATGCATGATGTAATTTGTACTGATGACAAGAAGGGACTCACATTACTGCCTCGTGAGGAACGAGTTTCATATACATTTCGCCTTCTTAGATCCAAGAAAGAGTGCTTTTGCTCTTATGCTTGGCTTTGTGACAATCAGAAGCAGAATCTTTATCAACAGCAACTAGATGCAATTCAGCTGGAAAAGCAGTATGTCCGTGAGGTAAGTGCTTAGAGCTCAATACCTTCTGATAACTCAAGCACCTTTTTTATTATGTGCATTACATTTTAGGTCTACGAAGAAATTAGTAGCCATTTCAGTGAAACGAGACATACTCCTTGGCCTAATATTGTAGAGTTCTGCAAAACCTTCAAAACTGGTCAAATTCTCTTAGATGTTGGATGTGGAAACGGAAAGTATTTTGGCAATCAGGCAGAAAATGTATCTTTGTTTGAGGTATGGAACTCATCATCTAGATTGTTCGCATTCTTTCATTTAATTTGCATTTTTAAACGGTAAATGATTCATGCTTCAGATTGGCCTGGATGCAAGTGCTCATCTTGCAGATATGTGTACCAAAAGAGGAGTAGAAGTACTTACTGGTAATTGCTTAAATCTACCATTCAGATCAAGTATTGCGGATGGAGTTTTGTGTATTGCTGTAATCCACCACTTGGCAACACATGTAAGCCCACCAGTAACACACATCATCATTATTATTATTATTTCAATTTGAGATATCTATAGTCATCTACAAGTTTTTGTTTCTTTTACAATAACTTTTGTTCACAATAGGAAAGACGACGCAGAGCTGTCCAAGAAATTGCCCGGGTCCTTTGCAAAGGTGGAAGAGCGCTCATTTATGTCTGGGCACGTGATCAGAGGCTTCAGGATAAAATGTCAACTTACTTGAAACAAAACCGTAAAAATCGTCAAAATACGGCAATTCAGTCTGCTTTTAAAGGAGATAAAAATAATTCAGTTACTGGCTCAGGTACAAGTCAATCTGAAAATAATTTATGCACATCCGCTGATTCAAAGAGTTGTGAGTTCACAGGTAGTTTGCCATTACCTGTTCATGTAAACCGTACAAATTTTAAGCATAGTGATATTCTTGTACCTTGGAAGTTGAAGGAGAAGCATAGACAAGAGAGCAATGAGGGTGAACAGCAAACATTTTATAGATACTATCATGTTTTTGAGGAAGATGAGCTGACGCGAATGTGCATTGAAATTCCCCAAATTCAGGTCTTGGAAACCAAGTATGATCAAGGTAATTGGTCTGTACTCTTACGAAAATTACCATAAAACTGACTTCTTTGTTGTTTTTGTGAGATGAAATCAAACAAGCAAAAGTGTATGGTATGATATTTATTTAAGAAGATATTATGCATGTGCATGTATTTTGTGAATAAAAAGTCTCAGTTTTAAATAGACAACAAAACATGAGACTTTCTTCAAATATTAGATGCAATTGTGATATTTCAATACGCTTAAAATGAAATTTGTTGGTCCATGTGTTCTGTTTGAATAGGGCAAGTCAATTCCAATAGAGCTATATTCTTGTGATTTTGAAAAGATGGACATCTTTTTATAGTCATCAGTTCATCAAATATTTCTAAACATTTAAACATTTTTAAAGTTATATTTTCACTATTGGCAAACTCCAAACAATCCCTCCATTTTGATTATAATATATGATTTAACCTTTTCAATCTATTTTACATGTACAGTATCCCATATAACAAATTTTCCACTATTTTAAAGAATTGTATGGAGAGTTTGGCTATTGTTTGGCTCGAAGTAAAATTGTCTGACAAAATACTAGTTGCAGTCTGTGTACATGAATATCATAGAGAAAGTTTTTTATGTTAAATTATTTCTGCAATTGTGGAATGACCCAAGCTTTCATTATTCATTTTTTCTCTATTAATAGATTTTCCTAGAACCTCAAGCCTAGAGGAGGAGAAGGTAAGAAATATACTTTGCCTAGAGGCACTGCTGTGAAGACCTATAGGTCTTTTGCAAGGTGGTCTTTTGAGACCTGGGTTACATGACCATATCAAGTTATCAAGTCTTCTAGTTGAGGGCCATTTTCAAAGTTTATACCACCTTCATGCCAGTGTCATGATTTAATGTTTCTGTTCTAGTTCGTGTTTGCCAATTATACCTTTCTAATCAATAAAACAACTCGCGCTGGGATAATTTCGTTTGTCATTTTGTGGTGTGTGAGGGGGTGTCCCTCCCAGCCTCCCCTTGCCCTGTCGGCCGCGGGGCAGCCGGGCAGCCCAGCCGGGCAGCCCAGCCACCCCTGGTATTGATCGCTGGCCTGGGGAGGGGCGGGGCCAGCCCCGCTGAGCTCCGCCAGCTCCCGGAGAGGCTCGCGCCCGACGCGAGGCGCATCTCGCACTGCAGCTGCTGCAGCTGCAGCAGCGGTGGTTGCGCTGTGGCCCGGGCCAGGAGCTGGTGACCCAGTTGTCCCACAGCCTGCGCTGGGGCCGCTCTGCTTCGCTCTGCTGCACGACAAGCTCCGCGCCCTGCTGCTGCGTCCAGGCTGTGCCCAGAGGTGAACCCTCCCGTCCCTGTTGCGCCCTGGGGCCTGGCGGCCTGGCGGCGCCCCTGCGGCACCCTGCGCCCTGCGGCTGCCCGCGAGCCACACGTGTTGCGTGTCAGGCACCCTCGCTGTACAGTCCACTCAGTCCACTGTGTACAGCACCGTGGCAGGCGCAGGCACTGCGGAAGCGGGCTTTTATCTTGTTCTCAATACACTCTGCTCCGTCGAAAAGTCATTGCCAAATCCTCCCCCTTCCCCCTCACTCACTAGCCCTGCCTTATGACTTCATGGAAAAGAACCCTACACCTTTCAGGGAAACTATGAGTGTATTTTTCACCTTCAAACAATTGTCTCTTGAATTTTATTGTGTGCCATTTTCTTTAGATGGGCCAAAACCAACTTGAAGCAAAGGAGAATATGGTACTTTATGCGGCACAGCAACATCAAGGAGAACTGCTAGAAAATGTTGAGGTGAGCTATTTAATATTTTTTTCTGTGAAGTTAATGCGCATGAGATTTGAGAATCATACCAAATTTCCCCACATCTTTCGTCAGATGGTGCAAAACCAAGATCATGACTATTTAGGCCCTCAGAACAATGTTCATGGGGCACTTCTTCAAGAGGCTCAACAAATAGCACCAAACATTGGTATTATCCACGTGAATGGGGGTGCTAATGACAACAATGAGGCAGGGGCTGCGAATCATGCAGAACCTCAAGAACTTGCCGACCCCAACGTAATCATTGAAGAGCACCATTTTGCTGAAAATCCCATGAATATGGATCAGCATTTAAATGCTTCTCCTCAGCAGGGTGGGGTTGTGAGGAACATGTTTGGAGTAGGCTACAATCTTGAAGACATTTTTGGAAATGAAGAAGTTCCACTGATACCAGAAGAAATTATCCCGGAGGAAATTGTAACTACCAATGAAATGGAATATCAGAATGAGACTCCTGAATCACTAGATGATAATTACAACCCAGGTCATGTACTGAATGCAGCACTCAACGCTCTAATGAATGCCAACCGAAGAGATGATCTCTTTGAAAAATTATCAGATCGTATTACTTTTAACTTGCCCCATTTGACAGTCACACAGCGTTTGAAACTTGAAGAACTCAAAAACCAATATAGTAATATCAGAGCACTTTTTCAGAGCAAACCTGAGCGGGAGCAAGAGGTTTATAGCTGTATTAAATGTAACAAAACTGTTCAGGGTCTTACAGCTTTGAAGAATCACAGTTGTTGCTGCATTGGATTCAATGCTACACCTCTTTGGATGAAGGGAAAGCATGTCTACTTTCATCGTCCGTCTAACAAAAAGCCACACCCTCCTCTGAGTGGTAAAACTAAATGTCCTTTGTGCAGAAGAGTTTACCCATCAGCAATCCTCTTAAAAGCGCACATGCGTACATATGGTATCAATTTTTGTCCAATTCTTGGTTGTGGGAAGCAGTTTGCAACTTTTAGCAAACATAATATTCACTTGGGCAGTAAACATTCTTTAAATATTGATTTTGTGTTGTACAAGTGCCCTGCGTGTAGTCAACGCTTTCCAACAATAGAAAGACTCACTGCCCACTGTTTTACTCATATAAAGAAGAAATATCACTGTCCACACTCACCATGTACTGAGGTGTTTTCAAGTCTGAAGATGATGATCACTCATCTTAAAACTCATCATCCCTACATCTGTGAAGCTTGTAAAATAGTGTTTGATGATCTACTTAGCTACATTTGCCATCGGAGAAGTCATTCACCATTCCATTGCAATTTGTGTGACAAGAAGTTTGTGTCATATTTCCATTTTAAGAAACACAGAAGAATTTGCAAATCTATAAAGAAGAGAGATCACTGTATTTTGGAATCACGTACAAGAAGCAATGAAATGTACCACTCCTTAGTTGAAGGAGTGCCCTTGGAAAATCAACATCAAATTTCATCAGCAGAGTGTGTTGTATGCTTCTACATATCTAATAATCCCTGCTCTGTAATTGTTGGGAGCTGCTTGAATGGGCAGCACAGTGCATCAGCTGGCTAGCACTAAATTACCGGGGGCTTCAAGCACAAGATTGCAGAAGAAAACCTCGGTTGTTGACTTGAACTCTCTGTGAACCTTTGGTTGTGAGTGAAAAGACTAATGTGGGAACTTCCTTTTCATGTTTAAAATTTACATTAACACTGAAAGAACTGTAAAAGAAAAAGGGATTTACAAATGGTTGTATTTCAATCAACTGTAATCTAAAAATATCGTCATGACTAAATAGGTACTGTATTTGTTTGTGATCTGATCTCCATCAGCGTTCTTAATATCATTCATCTATGATGACATGTCATCATTGAAAGACCCACCAAATTTGATTTATGGAACTTCCTTATATTTTTTTTAAGGCTTTTCTGTTGTTCTTTGGCACTTTTTCTCTTTGCAGAAAAGTGCTGCAAATATTTTATGTGGTTTATTATTAGTTCTAAAGAATAAATTGGTGACAATTCTTCAACACACAATGTATAATAGTTTGAATATTTTGCCTTTTATCACAGTCATTATGAATGAACAAATCTGAATTTGAAGTAAGTCATGTTACGATGCATTGATATTTGCGATTACATTTAAGAAATTTTGAATTAGCCATTAATGTAATTAAAAGAATTATGAAGAGCTCTCATGCACACACTTGGCTGGTATTACTTTATGTACAATACACTCACTGTATGTAGCAGTCTTTATTGACTTACTGTGACATTAGAACTATGATGTGAATGGGATGCACATGCCTGTTATTTTGGTAATATTCACTAAATGTGCTGTCTGTCAGTAGTGAGAAACAAAATCAGCTTATCTTGCTGAGTTTCTGGTTTGTGTAACTATGTTAGTATAAGAAATATTCGGTGTTTTACTTTAAACCAGTGACGTTTGTGAGTAAAGGGCTGGTATAATTTTCTA